CCGCCGTGCCCTTGTTGTCGCCGGTGATCATGATGACGCGGATGCCGGCCTTGCGGCACATCTCGATGGAGGAGGTGACCTCCTTGCGGGGAGGGTCCAGCATCCCCACACAGCCCACGAAGGTCAGGTTGTTCTGCAGGGGGGACAGCCCCACGCCCACATTAAGCCCCAGGAATGCAGCCGCTTCCCTCCCCGCTGTGGAACCACCAGGATTTCCCCTGGGAGGAAACTTTCAGGAGGTTTCCTACCAATCACCCCATGGATGGACCCTACAGCCCCCAAAGCAATGGGTTGCTCCCGTCCCCTCTGCTGCTCCTCCCACCTTTTCACTTCGTTCCCCCGCTCCCCGGTCCTCTCGGTGGTCCCCAGCCCCCCTCAGCAGCCACCCCACAGGGAGGGATGCTCTGTGGGACGGGGCTGTTGGCCATGGGACCGGCCCCACTGCATGCAGCTCTGCACCAGGGTTTGCAGAGGAGGAGCTGAGCCATTGCACTGCCCAGTGGCCGTGGAGGAAACAGAGAGAAAATACTGGTAGAACAGCTGGAATTGGGTGGAAAAACTTTGGGAATAAGGGAAAAAAGCTCCTGGAGAAAGCCCCTAGTGCTGTACCTCGTAGTGGACGAAGGCGGCTGAGTCGTGCAGCTGCATGGTCTCCCTGCGGACGGGCGCGTCATGGGTGGCCAGGGCCAGGCAGCGCAGCGTGTCGATGCCCATGCCCCAGTCCCGGATCCTGCCCAGGATCTTCTCCCGCACTGGGGCCGTCAGTGGGACCCTGGCAGTGCCCACGCGGACGTGGGTGCAGCGCTCGATCACGCTTTCCGGGGCGCCCTGCGGGGGAGCGGAGGGTTTAGGAGCTGGAGTGAACCTGGAGGATGAGCATCCCTTGCCAGCACCGAAGGAAGTGCCGGAGGGAGGGAAGGCACCAAGTTTGGGCAAAGGAGAAGGCAATCTCCCCAAAATTCCGGCACACACATCCTGGCACTGCGGCTCGGCGCGCTAGATGGCAGCCTCCGACCGAGCGCACGGGGACCGTGGCCAGGAAGGACCAGACAGCAGGATCTGCTCTGCGGGGGATCTGCAAACCCTCCGTGTCTGCCCAGACAGACTGGGACAGACTCCCGCCCCGCAGACCCCCTCTCAGTCTTGGATGGGATTAGGGCCGTAAGACTCCACTGAAAAAACACACTGTAGGATGCTCAGTGGATGCTTGCAATGCCTTTGCGACTCACACGTCCTTTAGCATCACAGCATCTCACCCCACCCCTTCTGACCTTACAAAGGTCCCCTGATACTGCTCTTTAATATAAAACTTGCAAACACTCTATTGCTCCTTTTAAGAAAGCTTGCCCAGGAATGGCAGGACCACAGATGCGATGGCTCAGGAGGGTCCCGACCTGGAGGACAGAGTTCACCCACCCAGAAGATCTCCCAGCGGGAACAACAACATACAAATCTTCTCGGAGTCAGCGGGGGGAAATGCCTGCCACGTCTCTTCTCTTGGGAAGAAAATGCCCTTTAAAACACTATTTTATTTCTGGTTACAGTGGAAAGCTGGACGTCGCCCTTTGGGCATTACTGGTGTCCGGAGGCTCCAAGCCTTTAATGAAGACAATTGCCCAAGTTTTGCGCAGGGGCAGCTCTCCCCTGGCCCCAGCACCAGCACACTCAGTGCCTTTTCCTCCCTCTAAATAATTTTACCTCCTTTTTTTTTCCCTATCAATACTGCAAAGATTCACCTCCTCTCTGACCACACCAGCCTGCCTGCGGGCTCCCGGCCCCCGGACAGCTAAGGGAGGAGACAAACTGCCCGCTGCAGTGAGGGCCAAATCCTGCTGGGGCATGCATGGGGAAGGAGGGTCCTGCAGGCTGCTGAGGACCTTCTCCCCTACCTTGACGAACATCTTGCTGCCGGCGGAGTTGTGGCCAGGGCCGGTGGGCGTGCAGTACACCGACATGGACTTGCGGTCACGGGAGAACTCCAGGGTGCACTCCTTCCTCATCAGCCGCTTGATCACCTGCGGGGACAGCGTGGGGCT